TGCGCTGGCAACAGTCCCATATTTCTAATTCCAATACGCATATCATAACTTAACATTTTCTTTAGGATGAAATATAATATGGGATACATTGTATTTGTAATGTGGAAAATTGAAAAGTATAACAAAGTTTAATTGTCAAAGTCATCTCAACGCACAATGGTATTTTGGTACTTCACTTATTCTTAAGGCGTGTTTCCTTTTGTTTTACAAATTTGAGCGGAGACTTTTCTACGCGGCTGGTCCCTCAAATTGACGTGGATTCGGATGCACTGAATTGGTCGCCTCGGAAGTTGCGCGACAAATTAACGGACGTTGGTATTTTGGTACTTCACTTATTCTTAAGGCGTGTTTCCTTTTGTTTTACAAATTTGAGCGGAGACTTTTCTACGAGGCTGGTCCATCAAATTGACGTGGATTCGGATGCACTGAATTGGTCGCCTCGGAAGTTGCGCCACAAGTTGATGCATATGCATATTTTATTGAGTAAATTTTATACAAACGGATGATAATTTAAATTTGAAATTTAAATTCAATATATGTGACATTTATTTAAATATGATAGTATATATACTGTTAATATCTATAAAAGATTAATTTTCTCTTATTTGCATTGAAAGGTTAAAAATTTTGGGGTGAATTATTAGTTACTCCTTATAGTTGTACATATTATCATATGACTCCTTAACATTTTAAAATATTAACATAACTACCTTGTACTTTATGTGAAATGGAAAATGGATGGAAAGCTACTTAGGTAGTGGCAACTGAGCTACACGAGATCTAGAAATATGTACTTTGATATTATAATATCCACTGAACCTCCTTGTTGTTGTTTTTATATATATCCATATACATCTATATAATAAAAATTGTTAACCCCTATTACATTCAGTACTTATGTAGGGACAATATTCTCCTCACAATTAATCACAATATGATTTTGTATATATCCATATACATCTACATAATACAAGCAGTTAGCCCATATTACATTTAGTGCTTAAGTAAGAACAATATTATCATTTCAATTAATGACATTATGGAGGTTACTTTCCATCAAAATTCTATTTTACATAAACCTAAAACATTTTTATGTGGATATTTTAAGTAAAGAGTCGAATGATAATAGAAGAAACCACAAGTGGGTACTTAGTAATTTACCTGAAAATTTGTTTTTCTTGGTTGCTTCTTCTAAAGTAGATGCTTCTTCCTAGTTGTGGAGTCAGGACTCTTTTTTTCGGGGGATACAATATTAATTTTAGATTAAACTTACAAGTGTTTATTAAAGTTTGACAGGCATGTACCAATTTATTCAATGTTACAAGAACAAAATCAAAATATTGTTCGTATAGCTTGTTATAATGTTATTTACTATGTGCAATAGTTTTCAGGTCACCTAAAGTCATAAAATTATAGTTAATGTTACGACTAAAACAATAAGATATACATTCAAATATATAATAGCAAAATAGCATTCACAATTAAATTCTTAAATAAATATTTGGTTCTCATGTAATTCGTATGGTTAGAGATACAAATGAAGTTCAACTTTAAGTAAATAATATTTAGGAGAAAGAAAATAACAATAGCACAATATTTTATTTCAAGTTTGCATTTTAGAAATAGTAATACAACTATAAAATATTTCAACACTTGTGGGAGGCAATCATGGGGCTAGATAAAATATTTTGAAATATCATGAGGGGCCAAGATTGAGGCAACATTAAAAAGATCAAATTTTTAATAGGCTATTCAATAGTTTTCAAAAAATTGAGGGGTTGCCATTACATCCCCACAAGTAAATGTTGCCCCGCCCCTGCTTCTTCATCCACTTGACACCTCACTTGAGTAGGCGAATTTCTCATAACAAGGTTAAAATGAGAAAATATCACAAAAGTTGTGTTAGGTGGGGTTGGGTTCCAGTTTAAGGAGTCGCCGCAAATGGTAAAAGAGGCATCATTAAAAAATTGTTTTAAATTTTTTTTTTTGCTAAGGAAGTAAAAAGAGGGATTTTTTTTTGTGAAAAGGCTTCGCTGCTCATTTGAGGTGCGACAAAGCCTTTTTTCTTAAAGAGATCACCGCTAATTTGAAGTGCTGCGATCCTTTAAAATTTTTTAAAATTTCTAAAACAGAATCAGAGAAAGCCTAATCCTAAAACCTTAATCCCTAAACCCTAATATGTAGGCCTTAAAACCCTAATTCCTAAACCCTAATACCCTAAAATCCTAATACATAAACCCTAACTCTGAAAGCCTAAAATTTAATTTACCTAAAAAAATTGTGCTAATTTCATAAATGGCCCCAAAATTGTGCTAATTTCCCTAAACCCTAATCCCTAAACCCTAACACCAAAACCCTAATACTTAAACCCTAACCCTGAAAGCCTAAAATTTAATTTACCTACAAAAATTGTGCTAATTTCATAAATGGTGATTAATCATCCTATAAAAATTTGTTAAGGTTCAAGTTGAAAATACAAAATTAATTGAAAATTAAATATGCCCAAGTCATCCATTTTTTTAATTTTTTGGTTTTAATGTTATTTTTTTTAAACAAATGCTTTATTAAGACCAAAAACGAGTACAAAGATCAGGAACAAGGCCCTGTAGGTACAGTCTATGTAGCCCTAACCCTGATTCTCCTCACGGATGGCACACCCAACCTATTTAATTGAGCCTCCCCCCGAGCCAAAGTGGGAAGATCCTGCGCAGTGGAGTAGCACCTGACCAACTCATGTGGATGAGAAACACCCATATTAGACAGGATATCTGCAACCTTGTTAGCCTCCCTGTAGCAATGCACAAACCGAGAAACTCCCACCAACTGCCAGACTTGCTCTACCTCCCTCCTGATGTGCCAGGGACACTGCACTCGCCGCTGTAGTATCCCTACCAAAAGCAACAAGTCCGATTGGATCGTCCGAGGAAAAAACCCCTTCCTCAGACACAACTGGACACCCGTCAATATGGCTAAGGCCTCAGCACGCAAACTAGACATCCCACCCAGGAAAGCCGAGAATGCCAATAATAGTCGACCACTAGAATCCCTGAGTATGCCTCCTCCGCCACTTGCCCCAGGATTACCCTTTGAACATCCATCCGTATTCAATGTTATTTAACCGTGTCCTCCTACCTCCCAGCGAACAATTTTATACTCGTATCGCGCAGGGGAGTGGAGCACCCTCTCACACAGCAGAGGAAGACTGTGCACATGACCTACCAGATTGAGGTGTATCTCAATAACTGCCTTTACATCCTTGAATGTTGCCTCGCAGACCTCAGCAGCCCGAACCTTGATACCGTCAAAGACTGCTTTACACCGAGCTTTCCAAATGTTCCAGCAAATAAAGCTTGGAACGATGTCATATAGGAACCGCAGCCTACCCGAAGCGGGCGATGACAACCACCAGGCCAGTAAATGCGATCGGGTACCAGAACCTGAATGCACTATGCCACAGATATTCTGAAAATATGCCCAAGCTGCCGTTGTAATCTGTCCTGTCGAGAACACATGTTCCAACGTCTCTCCAGCGGCAGCCGTGCAGCAGAAACATTTCGATGCAACCTGAACCCCCAACCCCCGGACGACATCATCTAAAGGCAAGCGCTGCATAAGTAATCTTAGCATGAAGAAAGAAACTTTCCCTGGTACACTAGCATGACATAACCGAGAAAATATTAGCGAGCTATTACGCCCTTGCCTGACCTCCTGAAAAGCCGATGCCAAGGTAAAGATTCCTGATTTCGTCGGCATCTATACCATTTGATCCGACCCCGATCATGTGGCGTCGGGATCTGAACTACCGTGGCCACAATGGCTGGCGGGAGTACCTGCAACAGACGCCCAGCATTCCAGGCCCCATTAGCCAAGGCATCCACAAACAAGAAGGTCGAAACCACCGGGGTCCGAACAAATAAAGCACCACTCTCCCCAACCAGTTGTCATACCAAAAATCGCAATCCCCATCATTGAGTAACCATAATATGGACATTTCAGCCTGGCGACTGATATTCAACATACGACACCAAGTCGCCGAAGCTGACGGAGACCTATCCACCTGAAAAGGATGCACCCTTTTACAATATTTATCCCTCATGAAAGCTGCCCATAGCGACGTCCCAGTGCGAAAGCTCCACCAGAGCTTCAAGGAAAAAGCCTTATACACATCTTGAGGCCGGCGAAAGCCTGCGCCACCCTCCTCCACCGGATAGCAAAGTTGTGACCAACGAATCCAATGATGATTCGACGGCTCAGTGAAGGAGTCCCACAAGAAATTGGAGCAGATCCGCTCGATGCTTTTAAACACCCCTGCTGGAAGTATCGCGGCCGACAGGAGGTGCGTTGGAATAGAAGATAGAACGTGCTTAATAAGCACCAACCTCCCTCCCGGAGACAAAAGCTTTGACCGCCACGATAGAATCCGTTTTGCTATAGCATGACACATCTCCCCAAAATACGAGGACTTACATCGGCCAATATATAACGGAAAACCCAAGTAACGGGCCGGAACATGTTGCCTGAAGAACCCAGTAATGCGTTCGATAACCCTTCACTGGGTGATGGACATTGTCGGATGCACTAAATAACCACTCTTCTGGGCATTCATCAGTTGGCCCGAGGCCCGCTGATACATCTATAGTACCAGCATAACGTCCTTTAATGATCTAGAGGAGCCATTGGCAAATATAAGAACATCATCCGCAAAAGCTAAGTAAGTAACCGGCGTGCATCCCCTGGGTACAGTAAACCCCACGAACCCCTGCTGCAAGCTTAGGCTATTGAGCCCTCTAGACAGCACCTCAACTCCAATAACAAAAAGTGCTTGCGATAACGGGTCACCCTGCCGGATACCACGACTTGATTTGAAAAATCCATAGGCTGCCCCATTGATAATGACAGAGAACCAGACATTGGACATCAGTCGCCACACCATGTCAATGAACCGTTCACCGAATCCAAACTTCCGCAACACCTGGACAGTGAATGTCCAAGAGACCCGATCATACGCCTTTGTCATATCTAGTTTTAACGCTACGTTCCCCGGGTCTTGTTCCTAATCCCGACATAAGCTCCTGGGCCAACAAGTAGTTCTCAGTTATGTTCCTACCTTTAACAAACCCTATTTGCTGCGGAGATAATATCTTGGGCAAGATGCGTGCTAGTCTATCTGCCAGTATTCTAGACAACACCTTATTGAAAAAATTGCACAAACTAATTGGCCTGTATTTCGAAAAATCGTGAGGGCTTGGCACTTTAGGAATTAACACGATGGAGGTAGATGTTAAAAACCGAGGCAACTCTGCCCCGCAGAAAAGGCTTAAAACAGCATTATAAACATCTTTTGCAATAATGTCCCATGCAAATGTAAAGAACTGACTTGTGAAGCCATCCGGGCCAGCAGCACTATCCCCATCTAGCTCAAACACCACCTTTTTCACCTCCTCGGGAGTAGGACATGCCTCCAGAGTCACTTTTTCTGCCTGCGTGACCAGCTTTGGAATCAGGTGATCCCAACCATTGGGTGCCCCCCGGCATCCGAGAACAAATCTGAGAAATATTGCACAGCCACCTCCGCGATGCCCTCATCATCGTCGACTCACACACCATTTGCATCCTTAATTCTATGAATCGCACCTTGCACCTTTCGTTGTTGAACCGTGGCGTGGAAGTATCTAGAATTGCGATCACCATAACGTAGCCATTTAACTTTAGCCTTTTGACCCCAAAACTTCTCCTCGTTCAAGAGTGCATGTCGTAGCTCGGCCTGGGCTTTACTGAGCTCTACCTGAGCCTCCACCGAGCCATCACTCTCTGTACGTGATTCCGCGGCTAAGACCAATGCCTCTGCCCTCCGAACAGCCTCGAACACATTCCCGACTATGCCCTTATTCCACTCTTGCATGGCCCGCATGGTACGCAGTAGTTTTGAACATAGGGCCCTAAGAGGGGAGCCAGGACATTCCACCTGCCAGGCCTGTTTAACAACATCCAGAAGCCCAGGATGAGACGTCCACAGATTTAAGAACCTAAACGCCCTAGGTTTATTGTCCATGCGCGAGGTAAACGATATCATAACTGGCGCATGATCTGAAGGATGGCGGGCCAAATGGGTCATAGCCAAGGATGGAGCACTTTCCGTGAAAGCACCGTTGATGAGCACCCTGTCTAACTGCTTCCAGATTCTGTCTCGCCTCTGCCGATTGTTACACCAGGTAAATCTTGATCCAGAAAATCCCGCATCAAATACTTCCGCCCCCTCCATAAAAGCCAATAGCTCCACACCCTCAGAACTCGAAAACGGACGGCCTCCTTGCTTCTCATTAGGGTCCACTATGACATTAAAGTCCCCACATACACACCAGCCATGAGAGCCAGGTTTATCGTCAAGTAGATCCTGCCACAATGCCCTTCGCCCCTCTAATGTGCATTTTGCATGCACAAATGAAAAGGTTAACGGATTGGCTAACCACGGATGTTGAACTGAGAACGACACGTGCTGTGCCAACGTACCTATAACAGAGCACACGAAAGGAAAGCTAAAGAATACCCAAATATCAGCCGAGAGGTTCACCGCTACCGAGTCAAACTGTAGTCTTAGCTTAATCGAATCAATACAAGAAACATCCAATTTTGGTTCGCAAATAGCAACAAATTTGAGGTTATGCAGCCGTATAAGCTTTTTCAGGCGTCTCAAGTTAGGAGGTTTCGCAACCCCTCTAATGTTCCAAAATATGCCACTAATCATGGATTAAGAATTGAGAGGAATTTTGAGAACTTGTTACCGACGAGCGAAGCTGTCTGTCCGACGGGATCAAAACCCAGACCCCTTTTTTCTTTGTTGGCTTTCTGCCATTGCCAAGCATGGCCTGGTGGTCGACATTTACTCCAACGCTAGCCGCATTCGTGTTCAGGTCTTGACCCCCACTGGAGTAGGCAGTCTCTTGCTCGAAATCCTCGTCCGCCTCCCCTTCACTAACCGAGTCCCGATTGCCGCCACATTGGTTATCAAACGACTGGCTCAAACCCCTGTACGCCAATGCTGCCCCATTGAAAATAGCAGTTGGCAGATTATCACATATTAGGTCCACCGTAATCACCCCAGCCCCCACAACCATCGGATCCTTCGCAGATGCTGCCACATCTCCTTCCCCACTATGCGTCACCACCTGCTTATCAGCGACCCCCAGCAGAACATTATCAGTCGCCGCCAACGGCTGTCCCTCCACCGCAGTCCGCGCAAATTCTGTAGCCACTGCCTTGTCAGGATTTTGGGCAAGGCCTTGCTGAACACTTGGTCCCCCCATGGTACTGCTGTCGCCTACATCCTCCCCGGAAGGGATACGTTCCTCCTGCCCCTCCACCAGTGGTAGATTGGCCCGCTGATGCGAGTCCGCTCCTCTTTCTGATTCTAACTCCTGCATCTGATCCTTCTGCCCACAATCATCCGATTGTGCCATTTGTTCCTGGGCTCTACTGCTGCTATACGGCTGGGCTGCTGCATCGCCTTCAGTTGCTGGATGCTTCTGCTGAGCATCCTGTCGAGCATTAGCTTGTAATTGCCTCTCGCTCCTTCGTGGGATATCACGTTTGGGTGCCTCTGGTTTCAAGCTTGGGTTTTTCCGGAAACAGTCAGCCTCTTGATGGCCAATCCGGTCACAATACTTGCAGAACTCTGGTCAGTTCTCCACCTCTACCGTCCGCCAAAACCCATACTCATCATCCCCTATCCAAATCCTTTTTGCTAGCTCCGTAGCTACGTCCATCTCCACTAGCACCCTTGCCACTAACGGTCTGCGAAGCGTAGCGGTTGCAGAATCAATTTTCAACACCCTCCCCAGCGTTGCCGCTAACTTGGAGATCTGCTGTTTTGCAAAAAAGGGGATGGGTAACCCCGGAAACACTACCCATATCAGCACAATCGATGGCTCCTGATTGTTCCGGAAATTCATTGTCCATTTTGACACAACCATCGGAGCATTGTTGATAAACTAGATCCTTCGCAAGAACAATCTGGTGTAATCCTCCTCAGCAGTTGGGCGTATCAAGATGTGTCTCTGATCTAACAACCCGACGGCACAATCGCTCTTTAGTCCCAGAGACACAAAAAACTTTCGTATTGCTTCCATTGATGGCCTAGATGCCGCAAACCTCCCCACTAGTGCATTCCGAAAAGGAGCAGCCAGATTTATCATGTCCTGCCGTAAGAGCCGCAGTGCCGGTTCCCCTCGGTGTCTCGATATTTCACCAATCCCTTCAACCGCTGCCGGACCGGATCCGTCCACCACAACATCAGCAAAGCTCCTTCCTGCATTGCCATGAAGATCCGGCGGCTTGGGGGCCGCCATGCAGCCCACCTAGGGTTTCCGCCGTAGGCTGTGTTTTTGCAAATTTAATGTAAATAACGATAAGTAATGTAGCATTCAACTCATTTATGAAATAACTTTATATTATTGCTTGAACTTGTTCTGAAGTCTTTATTCAGAACTAAATTAGAGCCAAGTCTTTGTTCGTAATAGTTGTCTGAAATATTAGTTTTTGGTTAGTACCTGAGTTTTATTTTTTAATTTTCTTGTTTTTGCTACTTGCAGAATGTCTGTTTTCCTTTCTTCTTGGTTGATTTTCTTTTTGCGCACATGAATATGCAATCTAATAACTTGTCTCATATACTATTATCAATTGGGGAAACATTTTGTTTCTCAGTTGGAAACAGGTAAAATCACTCAATGTTAAAGTAAAGATTTGGACCAAACATTGAACCTCAATGCATAATACGCTTCATGAACCTTTTAGAATTTATATAGCTATTGCCGCATATCAGACGTGCAGTTTCAAAAAAAAAAATTCAAATCACTGCAAATCAGATATGTTGTTAAAAAATTCATATTGTAGCGAATTGAATCTACAGCAATTTTCCATCCATTGATGAAATGGATCAACGGCCCACAAATTCCATCGCAAATTTAATGTGCAGCATTTAAAAAAAAAGTTCATTTGCCGCAAATTTTGTGCGGCAATAGAATTAAAAAAAAATGTTGCACCTTCAAATCACAATCATTGATCAAATGTTAATCAATGGTCCATCTACGACTAAAACAAAATATTCAGCTGAAAATCTTACCTTAAAAAATTCTTACGCTGTTGAAAAAAATTCCAAAAATAAATCGGATTTATTTTGCACTGATATTAGTACCTACGGCGACCCTTATTTCAGACACAAACCCTACATTACACTACATTTACGATGATTTCGTGTATCAACATTATTATGAGAAATTTGCCCACTTTAGTACTTTTTGTCTTTTTATTCTTTACCCTTTTTTTATTCCTTACTCATTGAATATGTCCTAACATGTTTATTTTCTTTAAATAAAAATTTTGTATCACAAAATATTCTTTTTTTTCAAACATCTAATATGCCAAGAATATAAGTTGGCTTATAATTTGCCGCTAGCCTTTTTTCTGTTTAAATACATTAAATTCTATTGAGCTTTATCTCCATTTGTAGTTTATCCCCCTGAATTCATTTGATAAACACTTTGTCCTCTACTTGATGTTTTAGAGAAAAAAAATACTTTTGCTATATTATTTTAATTTTTTCAGTTCTTTAATGTCACTATGTCCTTCACTTTGCTATTGGTATTACTAATTGTGCTTATTATAATATTTTAGTTTTCTTTAAGTTATAATTTTCATTCTTATTTTAGTTTATTTTATTTATTTATTTCTTTACACTATCAGGAAATTCATGACAAATTATATAGCATGAGAAAATATTATATACCTGTCATAATCAAGAGCATATATAACAATCACTTTAACTATGTGAACATACATTAGTGAACTAGAACTTTTAATACATAAAAGTATGTATTAGCTATTTAACTGTTTTAACATGTATTAGCAATTTAAAAGTATATATCGAATAAACAAAGAAACTAGCATTTTCATTTATGTTTGTGTTATGTATGGTTGGTTAAAAATTATGTTATTACCATATGCTTATTTGTTTCTTTTGCTATTAATAATTAATTTCTTTCTAAACCCTAAATGTATTAATTCAATGCTATACAAATATTCTATATGCATAACCAACACATACTTTGTTATACTGTAAAATTTGTGATCATTATAACTTCTAATAATAAAAATTAAAAAAAGATACAAATTTATAAAGATTAAAAACATTATATGACCACTATTTCACATTTTCTTTGGAGATTCTCCTCATGTGCTAATGTCTTATTAGGGAGGGCAATTGCTCTAAATCCCTTGAACTTTTGAGTGAGTTACACTCCCTCCCCCCCTCTCAACTTTTATGGTATATTTTCCCAACTCTCTTTTTCCTCTTTCATTTTTGCATTTTCTCTTTTTTTTCCCCTTTTTGTTCATTCTTTTAAACAATTATGAGAGTTGGCTTCTTATGTCTTTTCTTTTCTTTTATAATTTCCTCTTATGCAAAAATAATAAAGAAAACCCAAGATATACCAACAAAAAATTTTTTTGGACAAAATTTGAGATTTTATTGATAATGACAGGAAAGCGTATACATAGTAGCAGAAGCTACGAGTACCTACCTATATGTTCTATACACTAATACTAAGAGTCTGCACAAAAGGGTTAGCATTTGTCAAGGCACTTCTGAGAAATCCCCCCTCCAAAATAAAGTTCCCAATTTGTCCTATTACATGGAACTCCTTCCCAAAATGGACAATATGCCTCATGGTGTCAATAACAGTCTTCACGATGCTAACAGCAGACGCCTAGATATTTTGATGTATAGCCTCGTTCCGGGCTTTCCACACACAGTCCATGGTCACGCTCAATACCAGCCTGCGAAACCAATCAAGATAGAGTCTAATTTCTAGTTTGTACGCATACAACCCAACTCCATAGACCATGAATAGGCACTTCTAGAGATAAAGCGCATTGCTAGGATCTTTTGCCATGCTACTGCAACTATCATGCATTCAAAGAAAAGATATTGCATTGACTCTTCTGCATTACCACATAATGCACACTCTGATGACCCAATGAAGCATCCCCATTTCTTCATCCTGTCTCTAGTATATAACCTTCGTTTACATAACAATCAGAGCATAATGAAAATAGTGGAGCGAATCTTTTACCCATATTAGCTTAAACCATGGAACTTTAGGACCAGCTTATCTGATAGCTTGTAGAGCGGATTTTACGATGAAATAGCCAGAGTTCTTAGGCGAGGATGGCCATCCCGGCTCAGCCATACCGAGCTAGTCCTTTATTATTTGGGATGGGTTGCTACCAGTTTTGGCCACCTTGGCTAGAAATCGCATGCGAATAACCAAGGTGACTCCCACATCCACTGGTACCTCGGATTGGTGCTGTGCATGACACAACATCTGAGGTTTTATCGGAGAACCCGACACCTGAATGGCGGACAAGGCATCTAACGAGACCTGTCTACTGCTCCATCATGTCAGATCAGATTGGACACGCTCAATCCCTGCCAGGCTCTAGGGAGTTGGAGCTCACTATTCCTTCCTCCAACTTGTCCCCTATAAATACCACTCCCCCTCATTCAGAAAGGGGGGGAGGGAAAGGTGGTAAGAACTCTACTGTTTTCATTCCCATTATTCATTCTCCCTCGAAACTAACTTAATCATCAGAGGTATCCCGAGGAGAAAGCCCCGTCTAGTGTGCGTATCAGGAAAAGTACAGCACAAAATCACCCCATTCAAGAAGAGGACATATTAGATTAGCTAGGCTTGGCCGTCCAGAAATAACCTCTTCAATTGGCGCCCACCGTGTCTTATCCTTCTTCTTAGGAAATGGATAGAAATCAACGGGAGTATGTTGTTTGAGTAGTCGTACTTCAGTAGTAAACTTTCATCCACATGGCCATCTCCAATTCATACCTTTAATGCGGTTAGCAATAGGATCATTTATAGATAAGCCAAAATTTCTAAGCAAATTTCCAGGGAAGTGTTTGTATAGTGGACCCGTTGGTTGCCATTGATCATACCAGAAGAATGTGTACTTTCAATCATCTATCAGTTTCTTAACAAAAGGCTGAGCTATATTTCGCATTTTAAGCAATTTCCTCCAAACCAAGAAATAGTCAAAAGGGACTTGTACTGCCCAAATTGATCTCTATTTCAGCAAGCATACACACATTTAACCCACATTGAATCCATTTTCTCGCACAGATTCCACAGGAGTTTACGTACTAAACAGGTGTTCTAGAGAGTGAAATCTACTAGCCCCAAGCCCCCTTCTTTTAATGGCTGGCACACTTCCTTCGAACTTACTTTTGCCCCATAGTGACTCAAAACTCCATGGACATGCAGAAGAGAAATACTATCTCCACTCGGACCAAGACAGAACTTTTACTTGTTCAAATAACAATTAAGGTGAAGCAGGGTCAAGAACGCCGAATCTCTTTATGATAAACAGATACATTTTGTAAGTTCGTTAGTATGAGTAGTTCTTACAAAGGATCGGACTAATGACATATACAATACTTGAATTCTCGATGTAGATGCTACATAGTTGGTTCTCATCCTTCAGAGACTACGAGTGTAATAGGAGCATCCGTCGACAAAAGGATCACCCTAAGATGATCATCTCATGGTACTTATGTCATGATCGGAGATATCCCTATCATCCCATGGTGTGAGATAAAAATTAGGAATCCACTTATGTAATGGAGTCGATCCACTAAGGTTTTGAGCAGCGGTGTAGGATCAGATCCCAAAGATAGTATGTCTTTTCTTATGAAAAAAAGTCGTTTTCAAAAATTCTATAATAAATTTTATATGAAACTGAGATAGTTACCTTTCAGAAAATTATAACAATAGGGAAAGTTTATTCTTCTGAAGGTGGGAAAAAGGACAAAACTAAATAAAACGTATATTTCTAGTTACTTTTTCTATGGATAAAAACGGATCTAATTGATATAGGAAGCACCGTAAAGATCAATTAGCAAGGTTTT